TAAATAAAAAATATTGGAAGCTTTAGTACAAGTAACCATCCTTCTATGGTTTTGTAGGCCATATCTTTCAATTTGCTTATATTACGACTGCTGATATATGAAGCTTTTGACCTGGTTTTGCTAAAAATCATAATTTTAGTAGATTTTAATAAAAATATATTAAATATGTAGATGAAAATTTTATAAATGTTGTGGATTCCATTAAATGTAAAATTAAAATTATTTTAACTTTGACTTAAATTTTTTATTAATCTTTTTAGCTAAACTAAAAAAGGAGATAAGTATTAAGTCGATAGTGACAATACTTTTGCTGAATGAATTTCTCCTGTGTCTTGGTTTTTCTTTATAGAAGTTACGAGTTATTTTAGGATACAAAGTATACATGAAAACAAGCTATTATGTACAAGGAAACTACCTAAATTGCAGTAAGTAAATAATTTCTAAATAATTTCTAATAATACACGCTAATATCCCCCCTCAAATTGATGTTAGGGAGTCCACAAGCATCAATTTGCTGACGAGGTAATTATGACAGTGGCGTGTTAAAGATTTGGTGAAAATATCTGTGACTTGTTGAGAAGTGGAAACATGGGGAAGAGCGATGACCTTGGAATCATAGGTGTCCCGAATATATTGACAGTCCACTTTGATAAGTTTAGTGCGTTCATGATACACAAGATTGGCTGCAATTTGAATTGCACTAGTGTTGTCACAATGAAGAGGCGTAGGTTGTGACTGAGGAAAACCAAGTTCGGCAAGAAGACCACGTAACCACACAAACTCAGAGCATGCAGCCGACATAGCTCGATATTCAGCCTCAGTGGAGGACTTAGAAACACAGTCCTGTTTCTTACATTTCCAAGAAATAAGAGCATCACCAAAAAAAATACACCACCCAGTAGTAGAACGACAAGAATCAGGACAACCAGCCCAATTAGCATCACTGTAAGCTGCGAGCTCAAAAGACGACCCTCAAAGGAAAAAGAGACCACGATGAGGAGTTCCAATAAGATAGCAAATAATGCGATGGACAGCCACCATATGAAGATGATGAGGGGCGTCCATAAACTTACTTACAGTATGAACTGCAAATAAAATATCCGGACATGTGATAGTGAGATAGATGAGACTACCAACCAGCCTTCGATAAAGAGTAGAATCTGGAAGAATATCTCCTTCGGCCTTTCGATATTTAACATTAAGCTCCAGCGGCATATCAATTGAGGAGGCTTCAGAGAGATCAGCTAATCCAATCAAGTCTGGAATATATTTATGTTGATTCAAGAAGAGACCATGTGATGTAGTATGTACCTCTAAGCCAAGAAAGTAAGTAAGCTGACCAAGGTCTTTCATACAAAAAATAGAGTGAAGATGTTGCTGAAGTTTCTGAATAAGACTGTGATTAGATCCAAAGATAATAATATGATCCACATATACCAACAAAAAAACAATACCAGCGAGACTCTTATGAAAAAACAGAGATGCATCATACTGGCTTTGAGTAAAAGAAAAATCGAAAAGAGTGCCACGAAACTTGTCAAACCAAGCACGAGGAGCCTGCTTAAGACCATACAAAGAGCGTTTTAGCTTACAGACAGAATCAACTGAGGGAAGAGGCATACCAGATGGAAGTTTCATATAAATGTCCTCCTTGAGGTCTCCATGTAGAAATGCATTATTCACATCCATTTGATGTAAAGACCATGACTGGGAAGCGACAAGCGATAACAAGAGACGAAAAGTGGTCATTTTGGCCACAGGAGCAAATGTCTCATCATAATCTATTACATACTCCTGACGATTACCCAAAGCAACCAAACGAGCCTTATAACGTTCAAGAGAACCATCAGAATGAAGTTTGACAAAATATACCCATTTACTTCCAATGGTTTTCACTATTTGTGGACATGGCACAATATCCCAGGTCTGATTGGCCTCAAGTGCCTCGAGTTCTACTTCCATAGCATGTTCCCAATATTCATGTTCCATAGCCTGTCTATAGGAGGAAGGAATAGAAATCGAATTAAGTGTAGCAGTCATAGAACTATGGGAGGAAAAACCATACCTATCGGGTGGTTGAGAAACACGAGAAGTACGACGAAGAGGAACAGGAGGCGGTAGATCATAAGGTGCAGGATCTGACGTTGTAGATGGAGGATCAGTGAGACTTGGAAGGATCATCGTCGAAGATAAAAGGTCTGGACTAGTAATAGGTGCAGCATGCCTCTGAGTGTAAACAAGGCCAGGCTTGAACCTAGATGGTTCTGAGGGAAAATTAGGTAAAACAGAGAACACGGGAGGGAAAACCACGATTTCTGAACTGAAGAATGACTGCTTTTCAAAAAAAAATTACATTACGAGAAATTTGAATTTTTTTGATGTAGGATCATAACAGATGTACCCTTTTTGAGTTCCACCATATCCCAGAAAGGCACACTTGACAGATTGAGGGGTGAGTTTTGCCCTTCATGTGACGGCAAATGAACAAAACATACACAGCCAAAGGGATGGAGATGAGAGTATGTAGGATGATGACCAAAGAGTTTATAAAATGGAGAAGCATTATTAAGAGTTGGAAAAGGTAATCGATTAATGAGATGCACAGCAGTAGACAATGCTTCACACCAAAAATGAGAGGGAACTGAAAACTCAATTAAAAGGGCTCGAACCACATCAAGAAGTTGACAGTTCTTGCATTCTGCCACCCCGTTTTGTTGAGGGATAGAAGGGCAAGATTGCTAAGAAAGAATACCTTTGGTTTGTAAGAATGATTGAAAAGCACTAGACATATATTCACCTCCCAAATCAGATCTTAAGATTTTGATGGAAGATGAGAATTGATTGTCAATGAGCAAGAAAGGGTTGAAAGGCAGAGAAGACCTCACTCTTCGCACGAAGAAAATAAATCCAAGTAAATCGACTATAATCATCAATAAAAGTAACAAAATATTTATAAGGAGTATGAGATACCACAGGTGTAGGACCCCATACATCACTATGAATAACATCGAAAATATACAAAGCACGAGAACCATGAGACGGGAATGGTAAAACTTTACTTTTAGCAAGCCTACATGAAGCACAATCAAGAGAAATAACCGAAGTAGTAGTTTTATTACCAAGCAAACCCGAGTTTAACAAGTGTTTTAGCACATACAAATTGGGATGACCTAATTCCTTATGCCAATCAAAAACATCTAAAGTAGCAGAATTACAAACAAAAGAAGAAAATGGAACGGGCTTCGATGATATAGGAAATAGACGTCCCTTCTTAGGTCCCTTCACGATCGTCCTTCCAGACACCTGATCCCGCACATGACAACCAGAAGAAGAAAAAAAGACAGTACAATTATTATCAACAAGTTGTTCGACAGATAGAAGGTTAGTTGATAAATTAGAAGAGACAAACATTAGACAAATCTGGTGATATGTCTCCCATAGCTGAGACAGGAATAGTGTTACCATCGACAGTGTGTCTACTGAAAGGTCCATTATATGGTCTAAGGTTACTAAGCAATCGAGGATCGTGAGTCATATGGTTAGATGCACCGGAATCTAATAACCAAGAAGAAAAAGTAGAGGGTGGATTACTTGAGATACCTAAAGCAGACAAAGCAGAGATAACCATTTGTTGAATCATATCAGGAGTTATGGAAGTTTGGGAAGAGTTAGGAGAGGCTGGAACTTGAACGGGAACAGGTGGTGGAGCAGAACTAGCGACTAAAGTGGTAGCAGCAACATAATTTGCTCCAGTAAGGACTCTGATACCATGACAATATTTTAGCTGAATGAATTTCTCCTATGTCTTGGTTTTTCTTAATAGAAGTTACAAGTTATTTTAGGATACAAAGTATACATGAAAACTAACTATTATGTACAAGGAAACTACCTAAATTGCAGTAAGTAAATAATTTCTAAATAATTTCTAATAATACACGCTAATAGATAGTGCAACAATTATTTACTGTACGTTTAAAACCATACAAGTTTTAGAGCAACATTTCTTTCCCGAATTATTTTCTCTTTTAGAACATATATGTTAAAATTTTAATTGTTGTTAATACATAGACTATATAATAAGACCTAATCTTCCACCGATGATAATTTTGTTTCAATTCCCAAATGGGAAAAGTATCTTGGACCATAGTTGGTCGTTATTCGCTTTTGACAATGATACGGAGCCGCGTTAAGTAAAAGGCCAAGACTTTTGGGGCTAAAAATTGAATGAAATATCTGAGTAATTTCTCCAAGAAATTTCAGAAATTTTCAAAAGATTTTCAACATGAAAATACCACAAATTTAGGTAATGGGAGATATCATTGTCTAAGTTTTGATTGATTGAAACTTTTTGCATGATATTATCCTCGTTCATGTTTCTTTAACATTTAAAGAAAATTAATTTGCTGAGAAAATATGTGTTGAAAATTAATTTGAAAATAAATGAATTTTAAACCTAATAGGAGTTGAATTCTATTAACAGGTTGTGTTGACTATTACATCGATCTTAAGTATTACTTGAAAAGCTCTAGAAAACATTAGGATATGTTTGATTTCCATTTCAATTTTTAATTTTGAGTTTATTTTTAATTTTCTGTTTTGATGGTCCATTTTAAGATTGTTAAAATTATATTTTGATCAAAGGCTAGACACAAATATTTGGACTCGCTAATATACTATTAATTCAGTCATTTAATCCCACTTTTCATTATTCAACTGGATAAGTGCATAAAATGAGCCAATAAGAAATGAATTCATTACAATCCATAAAGGGAAAATTCGGAGAAAAATTCCGATGAACTTCCGAGCTTTTTTCTTTCATTTTCTCTCCATTTGCCATTATACCCACTTCAAGGCATTCAACAAAAGAACATAAACACACACTCTATGACTTCTTGAGTGTAACTGAACCTTCTCTTTAGCTAAAACTATAAACTCTAGATACTTTTGTAAACTGAACCCAAAAAAAAAATAGTTGTTCATGAATAAATATTTCTTGCCTCATGGCGGCGGATTCAATGCTCAACTGTGACAATCCGGCAGAAGTCCCCACGTTCGGAGTTAACCAGGAATGTCTAGCAATATTAGTACAAGTGAACGACAGCGACTCTCTTCGGCCATTCGGGGGGATGCCAGGATTAATGGCAGCATTAGAAACTAATGCAGAAACAGGAATAAGCGGGGATGCCGGAGATCTTTGCCGCCGCCACAAAGCATTTGGCTCCAACTTATACTTGGAGGAGCAGACGCGTCCCGTGGTGGTAGATGGCTTCTTTCGGTTGGCTTTGCAAGGTTTTAAAGATACGACAATTATTCTTCTTTTGTGTTGTGCTCTACTGTCTGCTGTAATCGGAATCAAGAGAAACGGGCCCGTTGAAGGGCTTAGGGATGGAGTAATAGTAGTTTCAGTCATCTTCTTTGCCCTCTATTTTGGTCTTCTCTGTAGATTTATCAAGTCCAGAATAAGACGAAGGAGATTGTTAAAGAATAAAATACATGTTCGTGTTGTACGACACGGGAAAATGACACAATTTTCGGATTCTGAAGTTGTGGTCGGTGATATTGTGTGCTTACAAGCTGGTAATCAGGTCCCTGCTGATGGATTATTCATAGAAGGGAACTCTTCATTTAAGCTCGATGATGATTTTCTCCATGGCGATTCCAGTTATTACAAAAATCCTTCTCTTTTTACTGGTGCTAAAGTGAAGGAAGGCAACTGCCAAATGCTTGTGCTATCAGTCGGCAAGAACACGGAAAGAAGTCGGATGATGAGATCACTCAGCAGTACTCAGAAAATTGATAACCAAGAATCCAAACTGCAAATCTCAATTGATAATACCAGCTCCCGTCTGGAGAAAATTTGGCTGAGTCTTTCGTTATTCATTCTTGTAGTCCAGCTATTCCGATGTTTCCTGTATGTATGTGATGATAGTTACAACCCAGATCCAAAGGGTGTGAAGAACTCAGTAGAGGATTTGGTGAATGGATACGCAAAGCGGATGAAGAAGCAAGGCACCAAAGCTAGTGGATTGGTTGCTGTTCTTAGCATCTTACTCTTCGCTTTGAGAGACGGGTTGCCATTAGGTATTTTCGTCTCTTTTGTTTATGCATCGAATAAAATGAAGTCCCACGGGGCAATAGTTCGAAGACTTCCATCCTGTGCTACAATCGGCTTAGTCACCACAATCTGCACTGGCATAACCAATGATCTCGCCTTGCACCATTCAAGGATGGCCGATTTGTGGATTGGTTTCGATTCTATTAAGGATGTCTCGAGAGAAGTAGCTGGAGAAGTCCTTCAAATTCTGCAAGATGGATTTTGTGCATATGCTTCTTGCAATGGCCAAGAAAACGCTCTTTGCTATTGGGCTCATCAGATGCTTGATATTGATATGTTTGAATTCAATACTTCTTGTGCCGTCCTTGATATTAATAAATCTCCTGATCTCAACAAGAATTCTTGTGGTTTGGTGCTAAAGAAACATAAAGAGGCAGGCAGAGTTTTGCACATTCATTGCAATGGAGAATTTGAAAAAATGCTATCCATGTGCTCTCATTATTGTAAGGGGGATGGAACAATGCAAACCTTAGATGAAGATAAAAAAGATTTGTTGAATAGAGAATTTCAGAAAATTGCATCCAATTGTCTCCAGGTCCTGGCTTTTGCTTATAAAGAAATAAACCGGGAAGAAGAGAATGGCGAGATTGAAGAAGATGATGCTGATGATAATGAAGAAACCCTAAAACTCTTGGAACATGGGTTAATCTTTTTAGCCCTTGTGAGCTTGAAGAATCCATATGCACCTGAGATGAGACAAGCAATTCAAGATTGTCGAGCTTCTGGTGTCGCTTTCAAGTTAGTCGTTGATACAGACGTAACCACAGCAAGAATCATCGCTCTTTATTCTGGAATTTTAAGGCCCGAAGAAGATATTGAAGGAGCTATAACTGAAGCATCTGATTTCCTCAAGAAAGACCAAGAAGAACGCCTGAAGACAATAGAAAACATCCATGTGATTGCCAATACCTTTCCTACCGACAGACTACAGTTTGTACAGTGCCTAAAACAAAAAAATAAGGTCGTAGCACTCGCTGGTTCGTGTATTAGAGATTGTCCATCTCTAATAGAAGCTGATGTTGGGATTTTCATGGGCAGCCTGCGTGGAGCCGAAGACGCAGATATTGTTGTCTTGAACCAGAATATTTCGCCAATCTTTACCATCATAAAATTGGGAAGGTTCGTACAAGAAAGCATTAAAAAGTTCACGCAATTGCAATTGACTCTCAATATTACTGCCTTCACTGTCAACTTCGTCTTTGTAATAGCTAGGAGAGAGGTGCAAATTTTGCCATTTCAAGTCCTGTGGATAAATGTAATTATGGATGTTCTTGGCGCCCTTGCTTTGGCGATAAGAATAGTAGAACTGCAGGGAGAATCCGGTGTTCGGGATGCCGGTGATCCAATCATGAACAGGACCATGTGGAGAAACGTAGCAGTTCAATCCTTATTCCAAATCACAATTTTAATCTTCTTACAGTTGAAAGGAACTCATTTTTTTCACGAAGCCCACAAAACAGTCCTGAAATCCATGATCAACTGCTGTTATGTCTTCTGTCAAATTTTCGGTTTGATCACAGCCATGATAATGTTCAAGAAAAAAACTAGTATGACTGAGGAATTGTTTGCGTATAGAAAATGTTTACTCATAATTCTTGGTATTGTGGGGATCATTGTTGTTCTTGAGGTGGGATTACTTGAGATCATGGCCACTGTTGCTCACTGGGGAAAATTAAACTCCAAAGAATGGTGCTTTTGTATTGGAATTGCAGCACTCTCAGTTCCTATAGTCTGTGCAGCAAATTGAGTTCTTGTAGCCACAACGTAGATTGTGTGATGCACGTGTGTACACTTTCAGTCATTTTAAATAAATAAATCTGTATCAGCTCTTTAATTGTTTAAATTTCAGTCGAGATTATTTTAGATTTGCATTGAGACTTGATGATATGTCATATCGGTACATTAACTAATATATCAGTGTCGTAATCGGACAAAAAAGATTGTTAGGTCTCGTTTAATATCTATTTTTATAAGAATGGGAATGAAAAATATAACTATTATGAGACCAACATAAAATATAAAAAATCAAATATAGTGACATGATGTAATGGATAAAAATCATATTTTTTTTATTTTTGTGGTAAAAAAATGAGAATCAAACTAAGTTTAAACGGTAAAGAAAATTTCAAATTTAGTCGATTCATCAAGAACGATGAAGTTTCTCTCTTTCTTCCTGTAAATGGGACGTATTAAATGCGCCTGTCATTATCCCAATACACCTACTATGACGCTGGTACCTAATAAGAAATCTTCAGGAGACTTTTACAGAGTAATTTATATGAGATGTTTTAAGGAATACAAAGGTTGAACTCTAACTTTTAGGGCCTTCACTATCCCGTCTCTAGACCTTTGTGAGGGAGGTAAATCGCGGTATGTGCCCCAATAGGCCAGGGAACAAGAGTTGCATGTATACTGCGCCTACAAAGAGTCCAATTTCATGTTTCAGGAATCGAACCCCCACACTGCAACTGCCAACAAAGCGTAAGATAACCTCACTCTTATTCTTTGCACCACTAAATTATGCCATGGGAGGCAATGTTTTAAGGAATATACATGCACCTGTGCCTGTCCCTGTCCCTCTATATCTACTTGACACAATCTATGCTATAATAAGCAACAATAGAAAACTTCATATTCTTTTTGCACTAATTTAAAATTTAGGGTTGGCCACGTAATCATTAATTCTGTTAATTTATTTCTTCTGTATTTTGTCCTTCAATAATTCAATTACCATTGCTACAAAAGGTAAATATTTTTGTCCATCTTCAAATATGTCTCATTCAACTATCAACAGATTCAACTCTGGTCCCTTGCATGCCTATATTACATGTACACTTGGACATCGACATTTGACTATATGTGATCATAGCTCTGACGGGATACGATGGTTGCAAGCACTTCGATCTCAAGTCTATACGATAATGAAGATATTTGGGTGTGGGAGATGGACAAAACAAGTGGTGTTGTTTGTGAAGCTCACACTCACCAAAATAACAAGGGCGAGTTCCGGTATGTATAGGGTATAACTCTGATTGTGTTGATGTGATTGAGAGTTTAATATTCAAATTGAGATTATATTTGGGTGATACTAAGTGTGAATATTTATACCTGGGAGAAGTTTCTCACACATGTCTTCATCTTAACGATTCACTTCTTAAGCCATATATCGTCAACTATGTGAATCCCTAGTCGTTGTACACCTGCTTCTACCGTAGCCAGCATAAGTTAAAAAGTTATCTGAAATTGTAGAGTCGTCATGCCTATTGGTACTTGTCGTCAAGACTTTTCGTAGAAGATGTCATTTTGCCAATCGCCTCGAAATTGTACTGCAGCAGAAAGTTGATGCCTTATCTCGAATGGTAACACTTTGGACGAAGCGTCTAAGAGTATGCCCTCATCACTTCATTGGACACATGAGAGAGGCAAAGCTAAAATGGAGTGGGGACCGTGCCTGGTCTCTTATTTCGCTTTTTGATTAGTTGATTGTCACCTAACCTACTTCGTGGGCAGATGTGTAATAATTTAAGAGTGAATTACCCATATGGTCACTGAACTTTGTAAAAGTTTTTTACGGGATTACTGAACTTTAAAAATCATCAAATTCATCACTAAACTTTGTAAAAGGTTTTCATGGGGTCACTGAACTTTAAAAACCGTTCAATTCATCACTGAACTTTGTAAAATGACTCCTGGGGGTCACTAAAATTAGTGACCCGATAACCCTTTTGTGAAGTTCAGTGACCCTGTGGAAATCTTTTGCAAAATTCAGTGATAAATGTGGTGATTTTTAAAGTTAAGTGATCCTGTGAAAACCTTTTGTAAAGTTCAGTTATGAATTGGATGATTTTTAAAGTTCAATTATCCCGTGGAAACTTTTTGCAAAATTCAATGACCATTTAGGTAATTCACTTAATAATTTAATTATCTTTTTGTAGGGTGTCATTCAATTTAATAAGTAATTTTCGTTAAGTAATATAAAATTCTCATAATGCTTGTCTATTTCCTCCAAGTGACAGTTTACCCGGTAGTTTTCAATGATTCATTAAAAAATCAATATAATTAAAGTTTAATGAGATAATAATTCTTAATAATCTGAATTCCAATTTTATTTTTTTTATTTTTTTATTTTTACCTGAATGAGAGGGAAATTTATTAGTAAATGTATGATCGACCCGAGACAATAAATCGGACACCAAAATCAAAGGGTTCCATAGTTATAATATATTAAGCTGAGTAATGCCAAAATATAATTATGGAATTGTACTTCAGCAGTTACAACATTCTTACTTAGCACCCGTTTGACCCTCATTATTCGATATTATAATTTTTGGAGTAGTATTTTTTTTTAAAGAATGTGTGATTAAAAAAGAAGAAAAAGTTTTGGGTTTACATGTTATTTTTTTGAAGAATGTGTAGTTAATGAGAAAAGTGAGAAAAATGGATTATAATTTTAATGGGAGTCAAACGGAGGCTTAGTTAGTATCTTATATATTACAAAAATCTATTCTTTTGTCAAGCATTCTGACTTCAAAGCACATAATTTTTTATCCGTGATTTCAAAATTTGTTTCATTTTTTGCTTTGGACTCAAATTGCAGTCATCTTTTTAACGACATATGAAGATCATTCTACCAAACTTTGTAGAATTACATTACGGGTATAGAAAATATTTAACGGAGCCAATTGCAGGGGACAAGTGTCCCACTGTTTTTGAAAAGACATGATCCAAATCGAAGAAATATGGAAGAAAATAGAAAAATCCACTTTCTTGAATTAAATCTTGATTTTGGTTGGATAAGAATCTTGTACAATTCTCTTGATGTTGATCATCTAGCCTCATTCTTCACCTCCAGAATATGTAGAATTTGATGAAAGATTAGGTCAAGGGAGGTTTTTTTACGTTGTGGGGTTGTTCTTCTATTTATACAATGCCAAGGAGATTCCTTACCAAACTAGAATAAGGAAACCTAAATTTTTCCACATTTAACATTGAGGCGTGCGCCTAGTGTAATATAGGGTGCACGCCTGGGAGCCTTTGGGGTGCCTCAGTCGCTCATTTTTTGTTTGGGGCGCGCAAATTGCTTAAGTTTGAACAACCGAACATCATAACTTTCTCTCTCGATATCTAATTGAGGTAATTCAAAGTGCGTTGAAAAGATTACTCAGAAGGCTACAATTCTTCCAGAGATCAAACGTTTTCTATGCCAAAATTGGATATCAATATGAGACTAGAAATCCGAATCATAACTTTTTCGGTTAAAAGTTTATGTATGATAATATTTTGACTATAATTCATCTCTTTGACTTATTTCTTCATCTAATTGACCCCGGGCACTCTCAAATCTTCATCTTGATGTCCGAAACAACTTTTGTGTATTTGTATTTTAGTCCCCGAACTTTGAATTTGCTTCATTTTAGTCATTTTCGTTCTTTCTTCCAATTCTTCTTTGAAACATGAATTTTTCCTAATAGAAGCAAAAAATAACAAATTAATTCGTTCAAAAAATAACAAAATATCATCATTTAGAATCTCAAATAAATTAGAAACTACACTTATCAGACCTTAATTAGAATTCTCAATTATCTTCCAAATAAAATTCGGGTCCCACTCAAATTCTAACGTATACAAATTAGCAGATGCAACTAATTTTGATTTTGAGTATGTCATCATGTATTTCTAGAATAAAACTCGTTGAATTATCCACATTTCAAGTCGATAGCATCACAACTATACTGAGCAAGAGCTTCGGTATTTTTTTTTTATTTTTTTTTGCTCTCATCAATTGTTGCAGTATTGCCTACTTCGTGTTCATAGATGATGTTATACAGAGTATCCCGTCTGTTTTTTATGCAAACGCTCTCTAAGTTTTGGTTTCATTCGACCTATTAGATGAAGCAATTTGAAGGAAGGATACCCGTCCGCAATGTTGAATCTACTGCCAAATTATTGGCTTCTTTGATTACTGATATTAATGTTTCACGTTTCTTAATTTTGTTACCAAAGGCACCCTTTGTTTTAACAGCTCATAAAAGAATGAATTTTCTCTGTGAAATTGATTGTTGATCCTGAATTAGATGCTTTCATCTGGTAAGATCAGAAATCTGCTTCCCCCGCTGATACTAACGTTTTGTACTTAGAAGTTCCGAAATGCATATTTTTCGCAGGTTTCTCCAGTATTCACAGCAAGGAGCAAAGTTTATGTCTGCGCAGCCGCGAGACATAACCTTTGCTGCAGGCTGCCTTACTCTGCAAGACCGAAGGCCTGATAACAGCTTCTGAGGCATCAAATGGAGACTAATAGCATTGGCTTTCAATCTGGTTTCAACTTCAGAAGCATAAACTTGGCAGTGACATTTAAGTTAGTTACGGATTATACTATTTGTACATAAAAATGGTACATAGGAGATTACATAAAATAATGCAAAGGGAAAAAATTGACTATGTTTTAAAATGTCAAATGATACAACTACATACGAAATTTTCTAACCTATTATATAAATGTACATGTAACAATGTCCTTTAGTTATTTGTCAACAAAGTTATCGAAGGACTGTTATGTCAACTCTTTCATTAGTAAAACTAACATACGGGAACGAGATCTAATCCCATACAGTATTGATTACTTCAAAATTCTAGTTCAAGGGAACATAATTTACTTCAAAAATCCATTACAAGGCCGTCTTGGCGATTCTCTCACAAATTATGTACCAACAGAACACAGAATTTAAAGGCAACTACAACACGTTA